CATTGTTTCGAACTCTTGCTTTGTCAGTTAAGTGTAAAATAAAGAATTTGCAACAAACATATGAAAACAAAATAAAAATGAAGCCGAGACAACAAGGTGCAGGGCTGGATGAACACAGCAGGCCAAGCAGCATCATAGGAGCAGAGAGGCTGACGTTTCGGGCTTAGACCCTTCATCAGAAAAGGGGGAGGGGAAGGGGGTTCTGAAATAAATAGGGAGAGAGTGGGAGGCGGATAGAAGAGGGATAGAGGAGAGGATAGGTGGAGAGGAAACAAACAGGAATGAAGCCCTTTGTTTCCAACCTAATAATGGAGGTGAAAGCAGAGAAAATGCTCCCTCTACAGCTTTCACAGCTCACTACACGTTTATGCCACAGCCTCTGAAATTGGCAACGTTCAACCTGGGGTCTCAAGGACCACATGTGGATGTCAATCTCCACCCAAAATCCAGTGCTCTGAGGTTTAAAGAGCTGAAGTAAAACCATGGCATCGTCAGTGAATGAATCCCATATGTGAACATCCAAAACATTTTGTATCAGCAATTTTAGATTTTTCTTTTCTCTATTCATTTGTGGGATGTGGGCGTCACTGGCTGGCCAGCATTTCTTGCCCATCCCTAGTTGCCTTTGAGAAGGTGGGGGTGAGCTGCCTTCTTGAACCGCTGCATTCCTCCTGCTGTGGGTTGACCCACAATTGCATTAGGGAGGGAATTCAGGATTTTGAACCAGCAACAGTGAAGAAACGGCATATATTTCCAAGTCAGGATGGTGAGTGGCTTGGAGGGGAACTTGAAGGTGGTGGTGTTCCCATATATCTGCTGCCCTTGTCCTTCTAGGTGGAAGTTATTGTGGGTTTGGAAGGTGCTGTTGAGGATCTTTGGTGAATTTCTGCCATGCATCTTGTAGATACTACACACTGCTGCTACTGAGCATCAGTGGTAGAGGGAGTAGATGCTTGTGGATGTAGTGCCAATCAAGCGTGTTGCTTTGTCCTGGATGGTGTCAAGTTTCTTGAGTGTTGTTGGGGCTGCACTCATCCAGGCAAGTGGGGAGTATTCCATCACACTCCTGACTTGTGCCTTGTAGATGGTGGACAGGCTTTGAGGAGTCAGGAGGTGAGTTACTGACCGCGGTATTCCCAGCTTCTGGTCTGCTCTTGTAGCCACTCTGTTAATGTGGTGAGTCCAGTTGAGTTCTGGTCAATGATAACCTCCAGGATGTTGATAGTAGAGGTTCAGTGATGATAACACCATTGAATGCCAAGGGACGGTGGTTAGGTTGTCTCTTATTGGTGATGTTCATAGCCTGGCATTTGTGTGGCGCGAATGTTATTTGCCACTTGTCAGCCGAAGCCTGGATATTGTTCAGATCTTTTTGCATTTGAACACAGACTTCTTCAGTATCTGATGAGTCACAAATGGTGCTGAACATTGTGCAATCATCGGCGAACATCCCCACTTCTGACCTTATGATGGAGGGAAGGCCATTGATGAAGCAGCTGAAGATGGTTCGGCCAAGGACACTACCCTGAGGAACTCCTGCAGAGGTATCCTGGAGCTGAGATGATTGGCCTCCAACAACCATGACCATCTTCCTATTTGTCAGGTATGAGTCCCATCACTGGAGCTTTTGCCCCCTGATACCCATTGATTCCAGTTTTGCTAGGGCTTCTTGATGCCACACTCAAATGCAGCCTTGATATCAAGGGCTGTCACTCTCACCTCACCTCTGGAATTCATCTCTTTTGTCCATGTTTGAACCAAGGCTGTAATGAGGTCAGGAGCTGAGTGGCCCTGGCAGAACCCAAACTGGGTGTCAGTGAACAGGTTATTTCTGAGCAGATGCTGCTTGATGGCACTGTTGATGACACCTTCCATCACTTTACTGATGATTGAGAGTAGACTAATAGGGTGGTAATTGGCCGGGTTGGATTTGTCTTACTTTTTGAGTACAGGACATACTTGGGCAATTTTCCACATTGTCGGGTAGATACCAGTATCATAACTGTACTAGAACAGCTTGGCTAGGGAAGTGGCAAGTTCCGGAACACAGGTCTTCAGTACTATTGCCGGAATGTTGTCAGGGCCTGTAGCCTTTGCAGTATCCAGTGTCTCCAACCATTTCTTGATATCACATGGAGTGAATCGAATTGGCTGAAGACTTGTATCTGTAATGCTGGGGACCACTGGAGGAGGCCGAGATGGATCATCCACTTGGCACTTCTGGCTGAAGATTGCTGCGAATGCTTCAGCCTTATCTTTTGCACTGAAGTGCTGGTCTCGTCCATCATTGAGGGTGGGGATATATGTGGAACCTCCTCCTCCAGTGAGTTGTTTAATTGTCCATCACCATTCACAACTGGATGTGGCAGGACTGCAGAGCTTAGATCTGATCCATTGGATGTGGGATCGCTTATCTCCGTCTATCACTTGCTGCTTTCGCTGTTTGGTGTGCAAGTAGTCCTGTTTGGTAGCTTCACCAGGTCGACACCTCATCTTCAGGTATGCCTGGTGCTGCTCCTGGCATGCCCTCCTGCACTCTCCATTGAACCAGGGTTGATCCCCCGGCTTGATGGTAATGGTTGAGTTGGGGATATGCTGGGCCATGAGGTTACAGATTGTGTTGGAGTACAATTCTGCTGCCGTTGATGGTCCACAGCGCCTCATGGATGTCCAGTCTTGAGTTGCTAGATCTGTGCAAAGTCTGTCCAATTTGGCACAGTGATAGTACCACACAACACGATGGAAGTTATTCTCAATGTGAAGGCGGGACTTCGTCTCCACAAGGACTGTGCAATGGTCACTCTTACCGATACTGTCATGGACAGATGCAACTGCAGCTGGCAGATTAGTAAGGATTAGGTAAAGTATGTTTTTCGCTCTTGTTGTTTCCCTCACCACCTGCTACAGACCCAGTCTAGCAGCTATGTCCTTTAAAAGTTGACCAGCTTGATCAGTAGTACTGCTGCCGAGCCACTCTTGGTGAGGGACATTGAAAGCCCCGACCCAGAGTACATTTTGTGCCCTTGCCATCCTCAGTGCTTCCTCCAAGTGTTGCTCAACATGGAGGAGTACCGATTCGTCAGCTGAGGGAGGACAGTGTGTAGTAATCAGCAGGAGGTTTGCATGCCCATGTTTAACCTCAAGCCATGAGACTCCATAGGGTCCGGATTCAATGTTGAGGACTCCTAGAGCAACACCCTCCTGACTGTATACCACTGTGCTGTCCCCTCTGCTGGGTCTGTCCTGCCGGTGGGACAGGACATATCCATGGATGGTGATAGTGGTATCTGGGACATTGTCTGTAAGGTATGATTCTGAAAGTATGACTATGTCAGGCAATTTTAGGATTGGGAGAGCTGTCTCACAGACCAGCTAAGCAACAGCAGATATGGAATAAAACCAAATAGGATGGGAACAAAAAGGAACTTGCACTTATGTAACACCTCTCATGAACTTAGCACTTCCCAATGTGCCTTATAACCAAGAATTTAATGTTGAAGTGCAGTCATTTTTCTAATGCGTCAGCTTGTGGGATCTTGCTATGTGCAAACTGGCTTGTCATTTGAGCAGTTCACCAGTATCTTCTTAATGACAGTCAGGGATGGGCAATGAATACTGGGCCAGCCAGCAAAACCAATATCTGGTTAACAAATTCCAGATTCCACAAACAAAATAAAGACCAGACGATGTGTTCTTTGACTGACTGGAATACAAATTATATAAATATATAGACACTAATGGGAACAATTTAATCTTTAAAACCAATATTTCCCCCTCAGCCCTCCCATACTGGGGAAATGCACACCCATAGTGATGATTTGTTCTTATATATTGGTTTCATAAGTGCATGTGAACAAAGATTGAGATAACTGTGAGCAACATGGAAGGAGATGCAAGGAATATGGTCTCAACAATATAGGGAGAAAAAAGACAAGTGCCAACCACAAACAGACATTAAACATTTAGATCTGGATCACCTATTAGAGAACAAACTTTTTATAGACCATATTAAAGAGTACAAAGGACTTAAGAAAACTATGCACACAGATTAACTGATGTTATTTCAAACCAGTTTCAAATTCATAAATTTACACTAATAATTGCGATTGTCTCAGTTTCTAAGAATGATTTAAGGCCTATAATATATATTTCAAAATTATATATTTATATATTAGTTTCACACTAACAAAAAATGATGGATTTTAACATTACCAAGTACTGTCTGTTTTTTAAGATTTTGAATGCTCATAGAATGCCTAACATGTGGAAAGAGGCCATTCAGTCTATCAAGTCTGCACTGACTCTCCAGAGAGTATCCCACCCAGATCCAAACCCCACAACCCCATATTTACCATGGCTAATCCACCTAGCCTGCACATCTCTGGGCTCTATGAGGCAATTTACCATGGCCAATCCACTTAACCTGCACATTTTTAGACTGTGGAAGGAAACTGGAACACCCTGCTGAAATCCACACAGACACAGGGAGAATGTGCAAACTCCACATAAACAAGTTGCCCAAGGCTGGAATTGAACTCAGGTCCCTGGTGCTGTGAGGCAGCAGTGCTAACCACTGATCCACCGTGCCATCCAGTGTTTTAAATTCTATCTCAATATCATTAAATTCCATTATTTCAGAAGAGTTACCTTTGTTTCCTCTTGTGAAACTTCTGATGTTCAGATCAAAAATCAATTTGGCTAAGAATTCAATTGCTATGCTACCTGTAATGAGGAATGATGAAAATAATAAAATAATTTAGAAAGCAAAACGAAGGAAGGAGGTAAAAACTTGCAATTATATAACAATTTTCTTAACATCAGAATACTCTAGAGAGCCCTACGGTAAATGAAGGATTTATGAGTTGTAATGATGCACAGTCATTAATGATACAGAGTGAGGACTCAGTATTGCCCAGGATATTGGAGAGAACTCCATGGTCCTTCTTTAAAATTTGCTTGTTATATTCCAGATGGTCAGTAGGCAAAGGAGACAATTTTTAGTCAGTTTTACATTTATTTACATAGTTAAACATTACAAGCGTACATCTCCTAATTAAAATAGAGCAGTTCCAATCAGTCTCATTATAAGTACCCAAGTGAAACTCTAATTACTATTCATCACCTACATGCAATTGAACACGATTAATGTACAGTTAATACACCTGCGATTAAGCAGGACTTTGATTTAATGTCTCACTCCCGCAGATTGCTCCTCAGACAGTACACTACTCCCTTAATACTGCACAGAAGTGACAGCCAAAGTCATAACTGAGCAGTTAGACTCAAACACACAATCCTCCGACACAAAAGTAAGAGTACGATCACTGAACCAAGATTGAGAGCGGAAAAAAAAAGTTAAATCAGAAATCAAAAGGAAGGGACATGCTAAAAAAGGAAAGATATTTTCCAGAATTAAGTTATAGTATAAATTTAGCAAGTGCCATCACAAAGATACTCCAGAATATTATAAATACAGATCTGGGTTGCCTCTATAACAGAAAACACTATTCAACATAGAGAAAACATAAAAAATAATTTACATGAGAAATCGGGGTAGAAAATTCAAAGTGCCAAGTGTGAAAATGTAACTGAGCTTAGAAATAGAGTAACTTGCCAGTTTGTGCTCACAATCTATATTTCTATGTATCTTCTTTTCTCAACTTCCTGTGCTGTTGAAAGCATGTATCCGTTTCTGGCATATGCTTTCCCAGGTACGAGTGGCATACTCAGCCAACTAACCATTTCCCAGGTGTCAGCCAAGGACAGTGTATTGCATGCCCAACCCTCACAAACAATGAGACTGAAATCTGTACACACGTTCCATCCACTGGCGTTCAACACAAAGGAGCTTGAAATAATATCTTGGCTGACCTTTTCTCACCACAACCCTAGCAGCACAGGCTTTAAGACTGGACTCAAATGTAAGAAACTTGATTAATAGATCTTAAAGCACAGAAAGAGGCCATTCATCCCATTATGTTTGTGCTGATTCTCTTTCAGAGCAAACTAATTGGTCCCACTCACCCATTCTTTCCTCACAGATTTTCTTGTCCAATTCCGTTTTGAAAGTTACCATTGAATCTGCTGTCAAACAGTGCATTCCAATGTGCAACTTAAAATAGCAATCTCTTCATTCCACAGCGCCTACCCCCTGAACCCATCCTGCCCCCTCCCCCTGCCAATTTCTTTGCAAATTGCCTTAAAATCTGTGTCCTTTGGTTACCAGCCCTTTTGCCAGTGGAAACAGTTTCTTCCCATAATGTTTATCAGATTCCTTTCTAAAAATGAAAGCTTTAAAATTATTTCCAACTCTAAATTGTATCCATAAATGATAATACATAAATAATTCTGTTTTAAGAGAAAAATGATTTCATGGTTGTTACTAAGGAAGGCTTGTAACATGGATTCTCTTGTGGAGTATGGACATTTCAGTGATATTTCACTCTACAGAGAGTAAGCACATTCTCTTCGAGTGCATTTGTTTCTGCTGAAACCAAAGCAATACCCACAAGGCAGTGAGCTCCACAGATGAAAGTTCCTATTGATATGGAACAGCATTCCTTTGAAACCTGACAAAAAGTAAAGTTTCTTGTTTTGAAAGTTGCAATGAAAGACTAAAGATCTTTATCACACATATCCCCTTAAGAAATAGAAGGCACATTGAAACGCCATCAACAAATAGGTTATTACAATGACATTTTAAAAGTTGTTTTAAAAGATGTAATCTGTAAATGCTGATGAGATGGAGAGTCATGTACTCAAACTGGCAATTTCTTATCACATCACTGATTTGACTGATCTTCACCACACCGCTGACATTAGTATCTCCTCCAAATGTAAAAATACAATGCCATTATAAAAGAAAGCTTACAAAGGACATTAATGGGACCTGTAGAGCTGTGCTTTACAGTTGTCAGAACAAGATGCTGGAACACTCTATCTAAGTTCAGCCCGGGACTTGCTTTACCACGTGGACTGCAATTGTTCAAAAAGAAGCCTCACCCATGTTTTCCGATCAATCGTGAGGAATGGATGATAAACACTAGCCATATTCCAGAACTGATTTAATCAAAACAGTTTTTCACTCCTTTCTCATCTGAAGGCAGCACCTCATCCTGGGCCATAACTCCTTTAGTGACAGTAACCACAATGCATCTCAATGGAAGTGATAGCTCTGTTTGTGAGGATGGAATACAACTTCAGACACATGACTTCTGAGCTTGGCTTCTTCACCCAATATCTGCATGCTCCCAAAACCCAGTAGCAGTGTAATGGACAAAGCTCACTGCTTCTGAGAATATGTGAAGGCCCCCCCTACCTCAGTCTCAGGTGAGATCAACTAACACAGTCAAAGTAAGGAGTGCACCTTAAATTGTGCCGGTCTCACTGGGAGGAGCTCTGTTTTCCAGACTTGACATTTTAGTTTCTGGTGCCCACTGTGGTCAAACCCATTGTAGTTATATCACGTCGTTGAAAAAGAGCAGCAAGAAATTATTTGTGAGTATGATTTTTCCACATAGCATGTTAAGAATTTCAATTGCAATGCTGTCAAGTGTAATACAGAGGGAAGGAACATGGGTTGAATATAATGCAAGCTGCTCAATCTTGCAGTCAGTTTCAGAGTGATATCAGCAGAAGTCCACAAACAGGTTGCCTGTCTATCTCCATTCGGTTTGTGCTGAGTCATGGGGCAGGGAGGCCAATAATGAATATTTTAGAGAAACATGATTCTGCCACTCACTAAATAGGGCAGTTTCAAAGATATTGGAAGTAGTCAAACAGTGTGTCAGTAGTGTCTTCAGGATCGCTGTTCCGAAGCTTTCACACCTTTCAAGTGTAAACTGGGGATGGCCATGATGATTCACAAGGCTGTGCAAGAACAACCTCAATAACGACAGCTGCTTCTCTTCTTGGGTGGTTTAGGTGGGAGCTGCCCATTCGAAGGCAGAGTGTTGGTACTATAGTCCGGCTAACAATGAAACACAAAAGCGTGTTAACTTATTATTGCAATGTCTTGACTCATACCACCTAAACAAAGTCTGTAACACCTCTACAGTTCACAAAGATTTATCATTAAAGGATATTTGATAGGATAAACCAACAAAGTTTAACAATATTGATAAATGAAAGTCTGTGGTTTATTTCAGGCAGGAATGTTTGATCATTGAAAAGAAAAGTCAGGCCTGATTGAATTTTTCCTCTGCTACGTACTACACCCAGGTAATTCAATAGACATGATGCCAATAAATGCATTTCTCACTATATAAGCCTGGAAATTAACCTGTGCAACAAGGCACCGGAGTGAGTGTTAGTATCAAATCCATTTATCCTCTGAATCAAATGGTTTTGATTAAACATTAGCACAGACTGGTTAAGACCCTGAATGATATCCCACACAGTTAAAATTTTCAGTTTCCTTGGAAGCTGATTTTCTTGACAATACCTTCTGGAGGTGGAAAAACCACTTTTTGTATTCAGCTGGCTTTGCACAAGAGACTTTCACAGGCTCCATCATGTTACCTGCAGATAAGAAATTGTATTGGTGATGAAACAACAAGTATTTCAACAAAGTATAACATTTCAAGAGGCTTCATATGAATACATTTTATTTAACATCATTTTTGCGTGAAGCTACACAAAGAGATAGCAGGATAAGAGGTAGAAAGCTTGGCTAAAGAGCTTAGAGAAGCATTTAAAAAAAAATCACATAAAGGAGATGGCCATCACAGGCTGGACCAACATTTATTGACCATCTCTAATTGCCCAGAGGGCTTTTAAGAGTCAACCACGTTGCTGTGGATCCAGGGCCATATGTTGGTCAAACCTGGTAAGGATGGCAGATTTCCTTCCCATAAGAACATTAATGAACCTGATGGGTTTTTACAATCAAAAGTGGCGACGCGGTTACCATTAGACTAGTTTTATTTTAATAAATCAAATTCAAGCATCATCATTGTGAGTTTTGAACTCATGTTCCCCAGAACATTATCATAGAATCCCTACAGTGTGGAAACAGGCTATTCGGCCCAACAAATCCACACCGCCCCCCTGAAGAGCACCCCACCCGGACCCATTCCCCAACCTCTGCCCCATGTCTAACCTACCTAACCTAAACATCCCTAGGGCACTATAGGCAATTTAGCAGGGCCAATCCACCCACCCTGCACATCTTTGGACTATGGGAGGAAACTGGAGCACCTGGAGGAAACCCACGCAGACTCTGGGAGAACGCGCAAACTCCACACTGACAGTCGCCTGAGGCTGGAATGGAACCCGGATCCCTGGCACTTTGAGGCAGCAGTGCTAACCACTGTGCCACCGATGATTATGATTCTGGTGGGGGGTTTTGGATTTCTACCCCACTGACATGACCACTATGGCACCATTACCTCATTATAAAGGAGGACACGAACAAAGTTAAGTAGGGAAGGAATTGAAGACCTTACCAAGGCTAAGCTGTCAATAATGCAGCGATGAAAACAAGGGAATGAAAACAAGAGGCTAGAATTGAAAGAAAGCAGAGTTGGATACTGGAGAAAATATCTTTGAATTTCTTTATAAAGCTGAGTTCTACTTTAGCTTTTAATTAAAAATAAGTTCCAGTCCAAATGTAACCCAACAATCTGCCCAGCCTTGCTATTCTTAGCTAGGAGAGCAGGAGGACCAAGTCTAATGAGCTCCAGAATGCAGCCAGTATCATTTAGCTGACCTGCCTGGAAGTGAGCTCAGAGCTTTCCAGGAGATAGTTCTGCAAAACTGCTGACTTAGCTGATGGTTTACTCATAGATAGAGCTCAAGTGGGTAACTAAGCTAAGAATTATTGTGCAAGTATGCAAAATATACAAAACAAGGTTAGACAGATTCTAACTTGGCTTACGATAATGTGGACTTTGGGCCAGCATGTTTGGATGAGGTTCGCTACATCTGTCCTGAAAGACACTTAATCTATAGAGGGATGGCTCTATTTCAGTTGATCTGCTTCAATAGATTTCTCTACAATCACGAGGTGAGAAATTTCCATGAGACATAATTACATCAGAAAGTAATAAAAATAATAATAGGCAGTGTGTGAAAATGTAATGCATGGGAGCCAAAATTAAGGGGAAACAATGGCCTTGTGGAACTATTGCTGGACTGGTAATCTAGAGACTGAGGTAATGTCCTGGGGAACTGGTTTGAATCCAACCATGGAAGATGGTAGATTCAGTAAAAATTAGGAATTAAGAGTCTAATGATGACCATGAATCCATTGTTGATTATGAGGAAAAACCCATCTCATTCACTCGTGTCCTTTAGGGAAGGAAATCTGCTATCCATACTTGAACTGGCATACAAATGACTCCAGACCCACAGCAATGTGATTGACTCTTCACTGCCCTCTGGGAAATTAGGGATGGGCAATAAATGCTGATTGAGTCAGTGATGCCCTCATCCTGTGAATGAATAAAAGAAGAAACAACCTTGGTGATGACATGAATTTTGATATTCAGCAAAACATAACAGTAAACTTCAACACACCTACTACTTCCTAGACACAATTTTTGAGGCTACTCTCAGCTATTCAACACTGGACAAGTCCAGACAGACATCCAAAGGTACAATTTGTATGATAAAATCCAGGGGACAGAGCACTGATCGATGTGAGGGTTCTGGAGCCAATTGTGGTGCTCTAAATGTTGTTGAAAATGAAATGATGTCATTTCAGAGAGAGATCAGGCATAAGACAAATCCTGGACTGTCAGGGTCAGAAACCATGAGATGGAGCACACGTTGACTAAATTCTCTAAACAAAAGGTCATGGCGATTTACAAAGTAGATTCATTAGAAAGAAAGCTCATCTTAGTGAGGTGAAAAAATGTCCATGAGATACAATCACATCAGCAAATAATGATAACGACAACAAGTAGTGTGTGAAAATCTAATATGTGGGAACCAAATTCATGAAATGAAATGACTGACCTGTAATTTCAAACTCAAGATGCCCTACACGAGCTGATCTTTCCAAAGCTCTGATGCTTTGAGTCGCAAGTCTTCCCTGTGTGGGTAAGGATTAAAGATCAGTTTTTCTTCATTCTAGCACCCAGACTTTTTTTTAATCATGGTCATCGGGTTTTAAATAAACTAATTAACCTGACTTCAATGCTCTGAAACAATGGAATCTGGCCACGTCATCCATGTGCTTGAAGGAGTGGACAACCATAGGGTTCAATAAAACAAAGATGTATTTTTAAAAATCCCTCCAAAATGTCTTGAGTACAGATATGATCTGGAGACGACCATTTGTCATTAATTCTATATTTTAACATGTTAATAGATTTACCATGGGCACTTGACTCTCCCTTTCACACAATTTTCTATCCTTTAAGTCACTATCTCTCCTTGAGGTGCCAATTCCTGATAGACTATCACCTATCATGTTACTGAAAAGGGACTCTCAGGATTTTGATCCGTTCAGCAACAAAGGAATGACAATATAGCTGCACCAGTCATGAAAGGACAGAATGTTTCAGGTCATGGATGTGATGCCAACTGAGTGCATTGTTTTTGTCTTGGATGGTGATGAGCTATTCGGATGTTGGTGGAGCTGCACTCATCCAGGACAGGAGGAATATTGCATTACTCTCCTGATACATGCCTTGCAGCCTATGGACAGGCTGTGGGGCATCAGGAGGTGAGTTACTCATTACAGTATTCCCAACCCATGACCTGCTCTTGTAGCCACATTATAGCCACTTCAGATAAGTGAAGATCAGTAGACTATTTGACTGTGAAGATTTGAGCTTAGTTTTTGTCAAGATAAAGAGCAGCCAATATAAATCGGGGAAAGTGCAGGTTAGGTGGATTGGCTGTGCTAAATTGCCCACAGTGTCCAGAGATGTGCAGTCAGGTGGATTAGCATAGGAAATGGGCTTACAGGATTAGAGTGGGTCTGAGTGGGATGCCCTTCAGAGGGTCAGTACAGACTCAATTGGTTGAATGGTCTTTTTCCACACTGGAGGCTATCTATGGTGGTCTCCCTACTTCTAGCCACAATGTTTGGTTTCAAGTCCCATATGTCATGGAAGTGTTTCATCACCTGTCTGGTTGATTAGAACATTTTTTATAAGAACCACTTTTCAAATGGGGAGGGGCTATGGAAGGGAAAGGAAGTCAGATTTACACTGTAATGGGTAATGTGAGTAAATCCATTTGGGATATAGATTGGGTGCCACTTCTTTCTTTGCCAGATGCAAAATTTCCTGATTAGCAGAGTATGGCAAATCTTTCAGGGCAGACAATTCTGGAAATGCCTCAGCATGGAAGGGTCATTGATGTGAACTAGCTACAAAACCAGACTTCACAGGATAATTGGCTTACGGGAAAGTAAAGAAAGATAGAGACAAAAAAAACTGCAGATGCTGGAATCTAAGGTAGACAAACAGGAAGCTGGAAGAACACAGCAAAGCCAGGCAACATCTGGAGGAAAGCAGCAGTCAACTTTTCGGGTATTACCCTTCTTCAGGACTGGATTTGAGGGTAGGGGGAGCTGCAGATTAGGAGAGGGGGTAGGGGTGATAGCAGAATGGTGGTGATAGGTGGACACTATTAGTAGGTATGACCTGGTTGCACTGGTAGTAGGTACGACCTCCTCCCTTCCATTCCACCTTCTGATCAGTGAGATCAAATGTAGACTAGGTGACCATTTTGCTGAGCATCTTTGCCTGGCCCGTATCAGCCAACCTAACCTCCCGGTCACTGCCCATTTCAATTCCCCGCTCCACTCCCCCTCCGACCCTTCTGTCCTCGGCATCTTCCAGTGTCACAGTGACTTAGAATGCAAATTTGAAGAACAATAACTTATCTTAGGCCTGGGCACCCTACAGCCCAGGCGGAAGATAAGGAGGACTCAATGTTGAGTTCTTCAATTTCAAATAACCTTCCCACTCATCCCCTTGCTCCCTTTCCAGCTCCACCTCCTCCCTTCCATTCCCACCTTCTGACCCTCCCTTCCAGCCAACAACTCGCTTCATCCTTCCCATTGACCAACCAGGTTGTACCTACTGCCAGTGTCCATCTATCACTGCCATTCTGGTACCACCCCTTGCCCCACCTACCCTTTAATCTGCAGCACCCCCTGCCTCACATCCAGTCCTCAAGAAGGGTAATATCCGAAACATTGACTGCTCATTTCCTCCAGATGCTGCCTGGCCTGTTGTGTTCTTCAAGTAAAGAAAGATGCTACAATTTAAACAGTGCTTTTCATTAGTGTCCAAGGGAGGAAAATGTAGATAAAGATTTTGCTGGTAGATTTGTGAGGCTAGAAAGGTTTGACCAATAGATGTAGGATTTGAAGTCCAGCTCTTTGTTGAACTGGACATCAAGGTATCACATGGCCTAGTTCAGCCTGACCTGTGACCAGGGAGGGCTTTTTGATATGTGGTCACTCTGTGGATTGTCTCACACTTTGATGTGAAAGCTCTTTGAATGTGATGTTGGAGTGACAACAGAAGGAAATGAAGGTAGGGGATTCGAGAAGGTCATCTGCATGCTGAACAGGAGTTGAACAGAGCCACGGAATTGATTTGAAGGATGAACCTGAAATATTTCTGCTCTGTCATGCACTTTTAACTCTGCTTGAATTTAAATTAGGAGCTGACAGAAATGAAACACTTACTTCATACTGAACAATGGTTTTCTGTTCATCAGTGGAGAGGATAATAAGATCATCCGGAAATAAAACCATAATCCTTTCTTCAAATACCTGTATAATTTTTAAAAAAAGAGAAGATAGAGGCTGATATTAATAAGAAATTGTGCTAAGATTTTTAATGTGATCAGTAACATTATTGGGGTACTGCAAGGGACCTGATGCAAGGGGTTGTCAACAAAATGCCAGATTGTTGTTCACAATGTTGCATTAACATCCACAGGCAGCTGTTTTAATGCTTTTGTCTAAGCTGAGGAGCACAGGCTGACAAGTCTTATTAACAATAGGCACCACCTGTCAGATCTCTGTGTCCTTTCTACCCCTGCTGTAGGATAGGTAGCACATTCAAATCACACAACCAATAAAGTCCCAACTAGAATGGAACAGAGCTGAATGCCATGAAAATGGATAGGTCCAAATCAAATCAATTATAGTGTGAGTTCATCACTTCCTTTGAACGAATGCAGAATCACTAGAAGCATTGATGTTGGTCAATAAAGGTACAAAGAGAAGGCCCACTAGAAAACTTTAAAGAAGACACTTTATATAATGCTACTCACAGCTCTCTGTTGGTCAGAAAGAGTTAATGCCAAATCCACCCACCTGATTATATCACACAGTCTTTGGGCAGAGAAGAAGCAGTCTCAATCTTCTGATGGAAACAAGCATGCCATTTCTGGCTCCTGATAGCCTTTATAATTATCCCTGTCTAATCAATTTAATTGAAGCCTTTGGCCATCATACAATAGGTTATATCTTGTTGTCAAGACAGATGCCTCATTCTTGCTCACACTCAACAGTGGTTTTTCCCTTACCACTGCTAATTAGATAGGACCTGAGCGTAGAAAGGAGAATTGAAACACTACATCATAGAAGGCAGTGGGCCAACTGCTGGGCATGGGATTAGAGCGGATAGGTGGTTAATGACCAGCATGAATAGAATAGATCAAAGGGCTTCATTCCATGGTATAAAGCTTTGTGATGCTATGGCTGAATTTGCACACAGTTAGATTTCTCAAACAGCGGTGTGATGACAACCAAATCATCTGCTTCAGTGAACTTGCTAAAAGAATAAAAATTGGCTAGAACACCAGGGATAACCTCCCTACTCTTCTTCAAAATGATGCTCTGGAATCTTCATTCACCTAGGAGGACAAATAAGGCTTTTTTCACATTTCATCTGAATAATAGTACCTCTAGCAGTATTCAGTACCGCTCCTGGAGCATTAGCCTTGAGTTCTGTGTTCAAGTCCCAGAGAGTGTCTTGAACAACCTTCTGACAGTGAAAGACATTGAATTGTTCAATCAGTACTGATTGCATTGATCGGTGGGGCAGGCTCAACGGCCTCCTCTTGTTTGTATGTTCCTATTGAAGACTGAAGTTACTCTCATATGCCTCTCAATGGGTGAGAACAGAATGAAATTGGCCAGCTTGGACCAGGTTGCCTTTACGGTTGGGTGTGGTATAGAAGTCCAAAAAACAATGGGTGAGAAATAGTCAAAAAAAGATGAAGTAATAAACATTGCATGGAAGATAAAAGAATGCAGCTTTAGAATTGTCCTGTAAAAACCTTATTCATAGGTACCTCAACCTAAGCCCAGTGGAAATATTTTTATTTTAAACATTGTGAATTTACGAAGAACAAATGTAGTTACAATTAATTTTGTGTTTGACCTTTTATGTCAGGTTCTGTGCTGTCACCAGTACTTCCCGTGTGTGGTGAGCAAAGTCATAACTTCACTTCCAGCAAATCAGAAGCAAGGTTAACACTGTATCAATATTTGGTTTAATCGTACAGCTATCACGATCTAACATTAAGACAAGACATGGCCCCTTCTATTTCATGCCAAAACTCAAGGCTAGTGGTTATCCTGCCACTTGTGTGGTTGAATCTGTACTTGACAATGCAAAGAATTTTAGGATAGATGCCATTTCAAGTTCCAGCAACCAATATCAAACACTTACAGAGTGGTTGAATACAAAGAAAAGCTATTTCCACTTAATCCCAGCCTTATCTTTCAGCAATTATCCTGCATCAGTTTTTTTTCATATCAGTCATCTTGTGATTTTCTGATTGTTTTTGTGATGGCAAAATCTCTCTGCTTCTCCTATTCCAGCCTTTTCCACATCAAGATTGAGAAACATTCTGCCATTGGCAACTGTACTTTCAATATGCTTTGGTCCTAAGATCTGGGATTCCCACCATAAACCTTTCTTCCCCCTCTCTCCTTAAAGCCTACCTTTTTGTTTAAGTTATTACTCTCTTATCTCCTTATGTGACTCCGTTTCTCAGTGACTCAGATGATATGAAGTTAAACACAGTGGATGTCCAAAGAGACTTGGGGTTTCATGTGCCAGACTTTTAAGAGCCAAAACTACTGCAGAAAATAATCAAGAAGACTAATGGAACACTGGCCTTTTATATCTAGATGACTGGTGTACAAGGGCACAGAAGTTATGCTGCAGCTGGAGTACTGTGAGCAGATCTGGACACCACACCTTAGAAAGGATATATTGATGCTGAAAGGACTACAAGGTAGGTTTGCAAGAATAATACTTGGACTTCAGGGGTTAATTTATGAGGAGAGATTATACAAATTAGGCTTGCTTTCTCAAGAGATTAGAAGACTACAGGGTGATCTGATCAAAGTCGTCACGATACTAACAGGAAAAAGGCAGGGCAGATAAAAATAAACTATTTCTACTCATTGGGGATTCTACAACTAGCAGGCATAGTCTGATAATTAGGACCAGACCATTCAAGAGAGATAAGAACAAAGAAAATTACAGTACAGGAACAGGCCCTTCAGCCCTCCAAGCCTGCACCGACATGCTGCCCATCACAACTAAAACCCCCTACCCTTCTGGGGACCATAAATAATGAAACACTTCTACATATAAAAGGTGGTAGAGATTTGGATCTCTCTTCTACAATGACAATTGATGCCAGATCAGTTGTTAATTTTAACTCCGAGGGAGGTAATTTTTTGTTAAGCAAAGGCATTAGGGCATATTGTCCAAAGTCATATGGAGTTTGGCCAAAGATCAGCCTGGCACAGATTAGGCAGCACAGTGGCATAGTGGTTAACACTGCTGCTTCACAGTGCCAGGGACCCAATTTCAAATTACACCCTCAGGTGATTGTCTGTGTGGAGCTTACACATTCTCTCAGTGTCTGCATTCGTTTCCTCCGAATATTCTAGTTTCCTTGCACAGTCCAAAGATGTAGATTGGCCATGGAAAATGCAGCGTAATGGGGTACAGTGGGCGGGTCTGGATGGGAGGGTCGGTGTGGACTTGATGGGCCAAATGGCCTGCTTCCACACTGTAGGGATTCTATGGTGAAACAGGCCTGAGGGGCTGAATAGTCTACCCCTGTTCCTAGCTTCAAATTTTGTATGGCAACATTTTTGGAAAGCTCTCTGGGACATTCTACTATGATAAAGGTAAGCTGTTCTTAAGCTAATCTTAGGTCTGTGCTGCAACCTGATGCCTTCAGCAACCTGAATATTTTGCAGGATCCTGGACACCTCCTCCATGGAAAAAATCCCTGGTCGACCAATTGCCTCTGCCTACTGCTGCCCCACTGAACTCATTTCCGCTTACCTTGACTTTGTCTTTTCCCCCCTGGTCAGGAATGGCCCAGCTATTTTCAGGACACCAACTCCCTCACCTCCACCAAGACTTTCAATTCCCCAAAACCTCATCTTCACCATGGACATACACACAAATAGTCTAAAACCCCTCCGCTTCTTCTTCTCCCACAGGCTTCACCGACACCGTCATCCGCCTAATGGAACTTGTCCTTACCCTCAACAACTTTTCCTTTAACTCCTCCCACTTCCTACAAAGTAAACGGGTGGCTACAGGCACCTATATGGGTTTGATCTATGTCTGCCTCTTTGTAGGATATGTGAAACAGACCCTCTTCCACTGTTACATCATTCCTCACCTCTTCCTCCGCTACATTGATCACTGTATCTGTGCTGCCTCATGCTTCCATGAAGACCTTGAACATTTCGTCAAGTTTACTAACACTTTTCATCCCAACTTCAAATTCACCTGGATCATCTCTGATACTTCCCTCTCCTTCCTGGACCTCTCCTTGACTTTACAAAACCTGTCCATCTTCTTTTCCACCTATCTACCCCACCTAAACCACTGATCAATCTCCACTACCCCCTATCTGCATCCACCTATCACCATCCCATGCACCTTCCCCCAGCCCCACTCCTCCATATATTTCCAATCTCCCTTCCCCCTCCCCAGTCCTGATGAAGGGTGTAAACCTGAAACGTAGACTTTTCTGCTCCTCTGATGCTGCCTGACCTGTTGTGCTCCTCCAGCTCCACATTGTATTGACACTGACTTCAGCATCTGCAGTTCTTGCCTTTTCTGACTGACTTTCATCCTATGTCAGTCTAACCTGAATCTAAATCTTGGTCCCAGAAAAGAAAAGCAAATGTCTGATGAGCTGAACCCATAAGAGTTAACTTTGGGAGAATAGAAATAGCAGTGAACCTAAATGTCTGGGGAGCAATCTCAGAGCAAGGAAATCTTGACTCATCTATGCGACTGAACTAAGACATGAAACCTTCAGGTCTACCCAATACAGTCACTGAGTTTCTTTAATGTTGATGTGTTTTAACCACCACTATGAAAGTTAAAATAGGGCAGCGTGGTGACTCAGTGGTTAGTCCTGCTGCCTCACAGTGCTGGGTACTTAGGTTCAATTACCCCTCAGCCAACTATCTGTGCGGGGTTTGCACAATCTCCCCATGTCTCTGTGCATTATAGAGCTTTCTGGAGTGTTCTGATGTCAAGAAAATTGCTAAATAAATATGTGTTCTTACCTTGTTTCTTGCTTTTGCTTTCTAAGTTATTTTATTATTTCCATCTTTCCTCATTGGTCTCCTTACATGATATTCTTTACAGACAACATACCAACTGAACTTATCTTAGCCAAATTGACTTTTGATCTGAACATGAGAAGTTTCCTCAAATAAGGGAATAAAACTGCTCACAGTGCTCCAGATGTGGTCTCACTGGCACCTGGTGGCAGCAAGACTTCCCTTATCCCCACTCACTGATTCCGACCGATTCAAGAGTAAACAGAGGTGGCTTTTCTGACATAATGGAATTTAATGACTTTGAGATAGAATTTAAAATTGGTATAATTTACAAACAACAGTGGTTTGCCATTGGATGGCACGGTGACACAGTGGTTAGCGTTGCTGCCTCACAGCAGCAGCGACCCGGGCTCGATTCCAATGTTGGGTGACTGTCTGTGTGGAGTGTGTATGTTCTCCCCATGTCTGTGTGTATTTCAGTTGAGTGCTCCTGTTTCCTTCCACAGTCCAAAGACATGTAGGTTAGGTAGGTTGGCCATGCTGAATTGTCCCATCGTGTCCAGGGATGTGCAGACTAGGTGGGTTAGCCATGGGAAATGTGGGGCTAGGGTGGCAGGTGGCAGGTATGGATGGGATGCTGTTTGGAGGGTTGGTGTAGACTTGGTGGGCCAAATGGCCACTTTCCGTGCTGCAGGGATTCTATAAAGAGGCTTCTATTTCTATAGTGCCACTCACCATCTCAGCACATCCCACAGCACTTTACAGCCAATGGATTTTGAGGTGTAGTCACCCTTGTGATGTCTGAAACAAGCCAGGCAATATGGGCACAGCAAGATCCCACAAGCAGCAATGTGACAATGATTAAGTTATCTGTCATAGTGACGTTCGTTGAGGAATAAATATTTGCCAGCAGAACGGAGAACTGTTCTTCAAAATAGGGCAATTTTGCACCAATGTGAGAGGGCAGACAAGATCTAGGTTTAATGCCTGTCCAAAAGATGGCACCTCCAACAGCACTCTCTCAGTATTGAATTGGTGTGTGAGTCTTGATTTTATACTCAATTCTCTGCTGGGTTTGAAAAAAGAGATTTCCACCTCAGAGCCTAATGTGCTACAAACTGTTCCAAAGTTGGCATAAATCCAAATCTGTTCAGACAATGCTAAATACACCAGGAATTTATGTTATTTTATGATGCAT